TCTCTCTCTCTCTCTCTCTCTCTCTCTCTCTCTCTCTCTCTCTCTCTTTTTATACGGGCAATACGTCCTTAATCGCATTCTCTGATGGTACTTAATAAACGATAAGTAACGTACAAACTTCAGCAATATAATGTTGTTTTTAATGAATGAACTTCTCCATCCAAGACTAAACTCTCGGTGAGAATATTATAATTGAACTCATAACAAGACCATAAATGAAAACTGTGATAATGCTCCACTTGGCCTATCCGACATGGTGGCACATGGCCTCGCCGTCTTGCGGCTATTAATTTTTTTCAATGAGCAGCTTAAGCCAGGCGGGTAGGTATCCTGGTACCCGGTGGTGCTTCATTGGTACTTCATAATTATGACGTATGGACGGAATACAGAGTGCTCCTCTTATGACCGTGGAAAATTTTCGTTCGCTCGATTGGCTCGTAAAATATGACGTCTAATGCTCAAGTACGATCGTTTTTCCGCGTATATAATTAAATAATTACAACTTACGGAGGAAATAACTTCACGTAATTCGAACGGTAGTTGCTACGATTGGAGTAGGTGCATTGGAGTTCGCGTTTTCTGATTTGAATATCGCGATCCGTAACAGTTCTCGCAAATGCACGAGCCGCGTAATATCGCGTCAGCTTGGAATATTCGAGGGATACAGTGGAGAAAATAAAAGCGCGGCGAGATTATGATGGGGATGAGATATCGGGGAGAATTTTTTTTCATGAAATTCCAAACGCGACTCGATTCACGAAGCGAGTAATTATCCGGCGGTGATCTAATTTCCACCGCCCATACCGGCATTATACATTGTTAATCCACCGTGAAACAACATCTGAAGCCAACTCGCTTATCCGCGGAGTTCGATAATCCCGCGATAACATGCATAAATATTCATTGTTGATCGTCGTCGTTCCACGACCACGCGTTTCCTTCAATTACTCTTCCCACACGAATACCCAACCGATAGTACCGTGTCCGATAGTAAGAGTCAAAATTAGGACACTCATGAATTGCGTCTCGATAGTGAATAACGCGATAGAGAAGAAAGCAAGGAAGGAGAGAGCACGGGAGGAAGAGTCTTCGAGACGTACGAAAGCTAGAAGGGTTCCTGCTTATAGCGACGATTATTAGGCAGAAGTTTCCTTCGCGTCCCGGGATGCCGTGAGATCGAGAGATACCAGGCCCCGAGATGACGGCGGAGCACCGCGGTGGTCAACATCTCCTCCTCCGTCGGCGAGCTGATTTATTAATTCCCCCGCGCGCGTCGGCCTTTTCCTCGGTTCTGGGCCCCTTTCGACGGACGCCCCGCGGGTGCCGCCATCGATTCGACGATATCTCGGGCACGACCCAGTAATTAAGCCAGTAATAACATACGCGGTGTATTAGCCACTTGTTAAGATTACAACGAGATCCGAGTCGTGATATTGCACGGACCGTTCTTACACGATATTGTTACGGTATCGTTTTGCAATCATCGAGAAACGCGTGACACTTGCGGATACGTTTATCGACGACGAAGGGGCATGGCGATTACAAATCGATCTCACGCTAAATGTCGATACATTAATTCACAAGACGTATCAAGTAACGAGGCTTCTCAGGAGCAGCATTTGAATGTTTGTAATAAGGCGCGTGTAAGTTTCTTGTTTTGTTCGTTTTTAAAGAAAGTCGCTTGATACATCTGTAAACTAATGCATTGATATGAAACATTTAACGATCATAATTTTTTCCTTATATCTATAACCCTGTTCCAATATTCTAACGATATTAAAAGTCGGTGTGAAAAAGACAAATTAACCAAGTATACAAGTTGACAGAACAACTTTCGGAGTTCTCGTGGAGATATAGATTAAGGTGAACATAAAAGTCCCATACCATTTTGCGATAATATTTATCGAGATATTAAATTATTATAATTAAAGAAAATTTGTGAATGATCACGCGAGATATGATAGATGAACTGTAGTGGCGATATCTGCCGTCGTGTGCTTATACATTAGATGAAACTGAACAAAACAGGCCTCTACCTTTTTCCTAATAACTTTGTAGATTTTTAGTTCTTAATCGAAGAAGATTGACGTATAATCGCTCGCAATAATATATTAATGTTAATGCAAAATAGGACTTTTTATGTCCACCTCAATCCGTACTAGGCCTCCACGAGAGCTTCGAAGGTTGTTCTGGGACATCCTGTATAACTATAAGGAGATGAATAATAAGAAAAAAGGACACGACTATTGACTCAGTCAGTCAGGTTTGCGCGTCGACTTATCTAATATCGTTATTTCCATATAAAATATGTACTGCTTGCGATGCGTCTAATAGCAATAATCTTTAACAGCCGATATCTGATGATGATGATATATTGCGACAGGATAAATCATCATAAGAATCAATCATGTCTGACGAAACTTGATTCCAGCAATTACTTAAGAATCAATTACACGCGTCGCCGCTGTTTGTTGCTGCGAACAGTGTCTCAAGAAATACGTGTATACGAACGCATTGGTATAACATTTTTCCCAAGAGTGGCGAGGTAAAATTACAATCCAGGAAGAGCAAAAACTGCTGCCTAGGTGGCACAAGACATTCATGCGAAGAGCTCGTGTTTCAGGTTTCTGCTCTCTTTGCATACCGTATATATCGAACAAGCTGTCGCAACACACAGCATGCACGCGCGCGTGTATATAGACACACAAACACACACACACACACACCGTTAAAATGAGACGTCATGTCATCCCGCTTAAAACAACGCCTATTAACGCCTTCGTCAGTCGTGCATCTCAATCAAGTTGAATTTTCTCGCGGATAATTTATAAAAAAAGCAGGTATGACCTATTCGGGTGAATTAATTCGCGCGCGATTCATTACACAATCAATTCACGTCGCTCGCGTATTTGCATGCTATCGTATTTGCATGCTACCGTTTACGACAACACTGTTACAAATGAAACGCGCGGATACGTCGTAAAAATACACGCGCCGCTAATCGAACCGCGGAATTATTTTGAAATCGCCGGCGCAAGTTCCGACACAATTCTCGCTTTAATTAATCTTGAATTTACCGAAATTACCGCGGAAATTCATGTGAAATTCCACTCGACGTGTGCACGGAATTTTCCGTACCGCGAGATCTCAGTTTCGCCGACAGTAATCGCGAGCGGAAGCGCGCCGAGAGCAAAACCGTCGATTCATAAAAAAACAACGATCGTATTAAGAGACCGACAATTAAATAACGCTAAGCCACCCGCGACACACACCGCGCCGTTTTCATTAAAGCGGCACTTTAAGCGCGATACGATATTCCGCGTAACGATTACAACCGGGGCGCCATCGCTATCGACATACAACAGTGTATGTGAGCGCAAATTATCAACACGTGTGTGTATTAGTAATGCGCGCGAAAGCGGTGCATACGCGGTGAACATAAGCAGCAATATATGAAGCCGTATATTTTCAGAAGGATTTCTACGATAAAAATATTTCAATATGTTTATCGACTTAATACTTTAAGCCTCTAATAATAAATTAGATCTATTAAACGATATTATACACTGCACGATAAAAAATATTTTACATTCGAAATCTGTGTAGAAATTCTTTTGTATCAAATTTTTAATATGGCCATATGTTAACATATTGTCATTGTATTATTGATTATTTCGCATTAAATTTATACACTC